TCTTTCATGATTTAATACAGTGCAAAAATTAATCACTTATTAAAACCAGCATGTTTACCTAAGCCAAGATGGAGAGCAACTATTTAGGATAATTTCTACTTAAGCCAAGCCAGCCTGATAGCATTCCAAAATTTAAAAGTTTTGTTTGAGTTTTGAAAGAGCAACAGATGTTTTACTATCCGATAAAACATCACTATAAGCGTGGTAAAAATAGTATTTCTAATCTTCTCTTAAGCGATCTGCATCAGTGTTTTCTCCGTAATTTTACCTGACCCTATACTTAAGATCGATAAATGGAGATAAACAAGTGTAACTGTCGTCGATATACTTCAATGGAAATTATTATTTGGAATCTAAAAGCCTCGAATACCAATAAAATCACTTAATTTTTAAATATTCGTTAACATATTGGTTGTCATGGAAACACCTAAACAAAATTAAGGTGTTTGTGTTGTTAGATTGACCGACTTTGTTGCATTTACAATTTACTACCAGAAATTTTTCCAGCAAACAGAGTAAAAAACCTGCTATAATGGGAAGTCCTGTGTAGAAGGTTTAGTAGCTCAAACGAATAGATTACAAAATTTTGTTCTGATTCGAGAATATCTCGGTTGTATCTTTTCTAACCAAGAATTCTCATAATGCAGTTACACTGGTCTATTTTCATTTTTACCTGTAGCAATGTAATTGGAAGAGAAATGAAGAATATGTAGATATGTAATTAGATAAAGTATGCATAGTTTGTGCAGAACCTTAAGAAAAAGCAGATTTCAATTTGTCCGGTACAATTTGTATGTAAATATGGATGAATAAATGTAAGCTGTGTAAAATATTTATTAAATAAAGAGAGAAAATACTAAAATGTGCTTCTTATGTCTTAGATAAAGAACTTTGCCTGATAACGTCACGTTTCCATGACAACCAAAGTCCCTCAAGTAACTTAACAAAAGAACAAAATAAGTTATTTTAAATTGGGTGAATATGGACCTTTAAAGAACCTATGTATCATTGGTCTGACGTGTCGAAAAATTTATTGAGAAAATCGTCCACTAAATGACCATCCTTAGGGTATCCCATTAAAAATAGTTTAAACGAAATGTGAAACTGAGTGTTTATATTATACCCAGAGGTAGCCCAGAGTTTCTTGAATTTTTACTACATTTCAATATAAATCGTTTCTCTTTAAAAAAAAAAAAAAGGACGGTAGACAGAAAAAGGGTATACTCGTGGTAGAAACACGCTCGGAACGGCGTGCCTTTACGTAATACAGTTTGCACTACATCATCTGCTAACAATACAGTTAATGGTGCCTTTAAAAGTTTGAACAATCAAAGAATTGTGTTTATAAAATATTGTTCGCTTTGGCAACCAGCGAATTTTTTTTCCATACGAATCTTCTCATATCGCACATTTGAAAACATTGACAACCATAGTAACTGTATCGCGTTCGTTCCATTTCTGACACTCGTGTAGACTTTTCCAAACGTTGTTTTACTTATTGTTGATTATACCACAAAGTTATATGCGAGTGAAAGCCTGAATTAAAATGGCTTGGTTTAGCAGAACCGACTTTGCCATAGATAAAAAAACATAGGGGAGGTACAGACTATTAACGTCTTTTCCGATGATATTTTTTGACTTTTCGGTGGTATTTCTTGTAAACTGGTTTTGCCGTCGAAAAGGACCATCTTAATTCTCACTATGTAAGCTGCTATTTTTATTTGAACATTTTTACGTGTTGCTAACCTTACCATGTATGATTTTTAAAACTGCAGAGGATCCAGACGGGTGGAGATCGATACGATAACGAGACAACATCTCTTCAGGATTAGGAATGGCCGGAAAGTGCCACTCAACCGCTAAACAGGAAAATGATATCAGCACCGGCTCACTCGCACTTGCGGTACCGAGAGAAAGAACGGGCGATTCAGATACACCTTTGTTTTCGTAAATGAATTTACGACAAGATTTCAGAGACTGCATGTCAACTGAATTAAGATCTTACGAGTTCTAGTAATTGTACGTTTGCTTTCAAAATTTACCACTGACCGTGTTTCTTTGCGCGAGAAACATTTGAAACAATTTATAGTAGATGCAGGTGGAAATAAATTAAGATTTGTTTCAAGTTTTGGATCGGCTACTGAAGAAATAACAAAAGTACTTTATTATATAAAACAGTATATCATACTATGAGACTGTTGTGTTACTTGGGAGCTTGCCCGAACATTTTATGTTGCGAACATTCCAAAAACATGCGTATGGTAAATATTTTTTCCTCTTTATCACTGACACATTTTCACCGCCTTAAAAAAATGGCACAATTATTTGCCTCAGACACACGCCAATCCAAGCGGCCGCGAACTTCCAAACCAAAACGGTAGAAGCCGAGCAATACAAATATTATACAGAAACTAAGAAGTTATGCAGACAATATGCAAAGAAAAACTACAGGTTTGTAGAATTAATGATTAAGATGTTAAGTCTCGTGCATTCAGACGTAAAGAACAAAAGAGATTTAGGTAATATTCTAAGCCAATCTAACACAAAATAGTTTAGTGTAAACATTAACAACAGATGGATGAACAAATCATAAAAAATTGACAAACAGCCATGTTAGTCAATCAGTCCCCATTATATAGCAGAACATCGTTAACTAAATAGGGGTAGGTTCCTATCGATAAAAGGTTATTTATTAACTTATGTAGCTATTTATTCAGTTATATGCAAATTATTAAAGTACTTATAGCTTAACTGTTTAGTATTCAGGCCTCCATTTAAACCAGCTTTAGGTGAATTGGACATGCCTGTATAAATAATGCTTATAAATAAATAAATATTGCTTAAAAACAAATAAATAAATAAATAAATGAATAAACAAACAAATGCAACTTAAAAAAACACTTTTGAAAACTACTAGTATTCTAAAATATCGTTAAACTGTGGATATGCTAAAATAGAATCGTTTTTTTCGAGAAATGTTCCAATGTTTAAACTCTTTAATGTAATTTGCTGTTTCTGAACTCAATAGCTGTTAAGCTGTTAAGCAAGTAATTTGCAAGCGAAATAGATGGGAAGTTGTTTAATGAAAAAATGCTGCCACTTCATTGCAACCTTTTTTTCCTTTTCTTTTATTTCTGAGTTTCATGATATTCTCCATCGTTTGATAAATATTGGCCTATTTAAATCAAATATATATGCCTTCGAATGCATAGTAGAAATTAATCAAGCAGCTTTTAAAATTATTCACTCAGAGAGGGTAAAAATGGACTTGCAAAAGATATTTGTATTTCTCCTAAATTTCTAGGGTTTTTTTAATGACAGTGAACTATACTATGGATTTAGGTATTTATATCTTCGGAAAACGTGCTTATATCCACGATTTTGTCACTTCTGAAAAAGTAAGACAACGTGGGAGGCTCACATTGTTAATAAACTCAGAGAGGAGAAATTTCATTAGTGCCGGCAGAAAGCTGCCTGCTGGATAAATGCTTTTTAGTACTGTTTTCACTATCCTATTTGTCTTAAATTCGATTTTGTTTTCCAAGTGTTTTAATTTATCTTTTGCCATACAATTGCCTTTTTAATAAACTTCAAAAGAACCGAAATTGTAAATAATTAATGTTGTAGTAAACAGTGGAGGAGGTATTCAAAGAGAATAAAATTCTAGTGAGAAAATCAAACTGTTACCTATTTAATACGAGGTCTTGTGAACAGTTGATAGATCAAACAAGTTGATAAATCCTGAAGATGTTTAATTTACTGCCAGTCAACAATTTTATTAAAAGGGCAAGTGAAAAAAATGATTAGAGCTGCTAACAGCATAGCCGTCAGACATAGAAAAAAGCCATTTATTAAGAACCTTTTGCTTCTGTACCCTTCTACAGGTTTTGTAAACAAAAAAATGGCTTTACGAATAGTAATAATGTCAGGTATAATCTCTAGCAACACTTACGAGTCATTAAAAATAGATAACTTGATCAGCCTTTCTTATAAAAAGTGGCATTTAGCCTGTCACGAAATTGTTTTAGTTTCTAGAAATATTGTAATTGTTTCTTCATTTCTTTAAGCAAAACATCTGGACAGCATCTTCCAACAGCAAAGATTCCCTCCCTCCTCTTTCGCGTTTCTCTCCGTAAAGGCTTCTATAGCTCAGATGTCTAGCATGTTCGATATTGCCGATAAGAGGAACTCGTTAGTGCAATCAAGTGAGCGTATTATATTAAACTCGGACGTAAGTGAATACATTTTCCATGAAAAATATCAATGGAATAAATCGAGAACCTTTCATTATTTGACAAATTGTATTCCTAGAACAATACAAAACAAGGATGCTTTCCCTTAAAACTTTCTGGGTACTTTTACCTTATTTAGTAAGCTTTTCATTCCACTTATAAAATGCTCTTGACATAAAAAATAACATATAAAATTATATCCTCTTTCACAAACTCGTTTGGTGAGTTCCATAAAATTTTTTGTTGTTGTTGTTTTTCGCCATATTCTGGCTTAATTGATCCTCGTATAATTTTGAATATAGCTCATAATTTTATGCCAATCAAACTAGATTAAAGTACTAATTAAAAGAACGCTGTTGTCATAATATTTTGGGGCTTATCCAGGTTTACGAATTCAATTTCCTCGAAACATTCAACACGAACCAAAAATGTCGAAGAAACCTTCTCCTTTGTTTGGACAGCTAAAAATACAGATACTCATTTTAAACACAGATTTATTGTATTAAAGAAGGAAAAAACTTCGACCTCTTGTATTAAAATAAGAATAGAATTTTTCTGGGAAAAATATAGTAGTAAAATGTTAACGATTAAAACTTGTACAGTGGTTTAACCTCAAAACCTCATCAGAGAGATTTGGACCATTTTGGGGCATGTTTGTTTGTCTTGAAGCAAGTGACAAAAGAGAAACGTGAAACTTCCCGACGACTGTGAAACAGTTCTGCTAGATTTTTCTTGTTCCATCAAATTTTGAAAAGAGTATAACGAAAGGAAGACATGCACCGTGTTTGAACATAGAGTCTGAAATGTTCAAAAAGATCCAGATGCCAGTGGCACGCATTGAGATAAACATGTGTGCATGATAATGAAATTGCTTAAATGTAAGCCGGAGGTGTATATTTAACGATAAAGGACTAAGGGCAATACAAACATGGTGTTTTGATAAATACTTCAGTGGTAATTTGGATGTTTCCTGTTTTATTACTGGAATAGGCCAATTGAGAATGGACGTTATTTTTCAAACTTGTTTGAGGATCTCATTAGGGGCTGTCTAACGCAAATTTAAGTCTGCTTGATTCGTTTGGGAGATAGATTTTAAAGCTTTTCTCGAGATAACTAATTAATATCCTACCGGGTATTTTTTTACGAAGATTAATCGAATGCAAATTCTGCTAACTGTTTTATATTCGCACTTGGGTGCAAGCCATCAGTTTTTGGGTGGGCATTTGTTGGACTAGTATTACAAAGCTTCTCACATGGGCGTTGGAAATTGATGTGTTTTTCGCGGCACGATAATTCCTCCGTAAATTAACCCAATCATTCACTAAAGAGTGGCGACATTTATTAGTTTCGCACCCCTTAACTTCTCAGTCCGGACAAAACACTGCTGCAGAAATGGATCTGACGAACAAAACAACAAGGAATTCCTCTCTCGGGAACTTTACCACTGATCCTATCAGCTGTCAGGCGATTGGCGATGAAACGACATCGAAAGCCGTCCAAACAACTGCATACTGTATCGTTCTACTTCTCTCCTTAATGGGAAACACTCTGATAATACTGGTCGTGTACCGAAACCCTCGCATGTGGACGGCGTCGAACTACCTAATTGTCAACATGGCTGCATCTGACCTCCTTCTTCCCTTCTTTGCAGTACCAAGAATGATCGTCGAAGTCCTGGTCGGTAGAGAGCGATGGCTGATCGGAGGCACGGCAGGTTTGGCCCTATGTAAGCTCGCTTACTTCTTGCAAGACGTGTCCACTGCAGTCTCTGTCCAAAGCCTTCTTGCCATAACAGCCGAGAGGTTTTATGTGGTGATGTTCCCCTTAAAAGCAACTGCGATGAAGTCCAACATCAAATACGTGATTCCCTTGACCTGGCTCACGGCAATCGGTCTTCAGTCACCGTATCTTCAGGTCTTCAAGCTGTGCCTTGTACAAGGAAAACTATTGTGCTGCCAGAGGTGGTCCATGTCCATTCGAAGCCAATTTATGTATTTTGTTTTCATTCTCAGTTTGGTGTTTGGTGCGCCGTTGATAACTATTGTAATTTTGTATGCATTTATTGTTTATAAATTGTTTCGCCGAAAGCTTCCACCAGGTACCCGCAATTCCATCACCCAGAATCAGCGAGATCAACGGGACAGACAAAACAGGAACATCCTTAAAATGGCAGTGACGGTTGTTGTGACTTTTTTTCTGTGCTTTTCGCCACTAGTGATTCTGGCCCTACTTTTAACGACCGGCAGCATCGGCAAATGTAAAGCCGAAACATTTCGCATGATCGCAAAGTTTTTCGCCCAGTCAAATTGTGCCATAAATGCTTTCATTTATTACGCCTTTAATTCACAATTCAGAAGGGGATTTATTTCTAATTTGCAGAAAATGTTTTGTTGCCATACAAAAAATAACAATGGTTTAAATATCACTGTGCGATATTCCACTTCGAGTCAAAGAATTTCTCTCTTGTCAGAAAAACGAACTAAGCGTACTTGTTCCATGAGGCGAACCACCTCAGAGGAGTAGACAAGGACAGACATCAGTTAAAGATAAAAAAAAACACATCTTTGTTTTTAAAAAAATATTTGGTAATTTATAAGATTCTTGTGTCCAGTAGGCTTATGTAGGTGGGCCAGAGTTATGTTCAATAAGTTTATCTCAAACTTACTAGATAAGTTTTAGTGGAAATACCACAGAAATCGTTAAAATACTAGCACGTTCAGGAAACAATTTATGCCGTAAAAGATTCCAATCTATGCTTTTTAATTATTGTCATATTTCAGTATGTTGTTCGATTTAGTCATTAGGAAAACATTCATTTTTCCTCGAGCTTATTAGAAATGTTTTCTGTGCAAAATTAAGTAATTAAAAATGTTTCCTTCCAAGCAGTTATCACTGAAACCACAGGGAGATACTACAGTGCTAAAGATGATGCTCTGCCTGTGGTTAGATAAGTAATCGCCCAGAAAGAAATGAAATTACTTCGTTCTAGCTCTTAATGCGGTACCATAAATGAAGTAGTTTGGAATTATTGTCAATTGATGTTCTAGGCAGCACTTTCAGGTAGATTGTGAAAAAAAAATTAGATGTTATATGAATTATGTAAGCTACAATTGAAGAAAAATACCTGCATAAGAAATTTCTTATTATAATGTTATGAATTTGACGAATATTACATGAAAAGGTTTCATCAAGCTATTGCCTGATACAAAACACTTACCCTCAAATCAGTGAAATATCTCGGTTTTTAGTTTTAAATGAGGTTTTACTACCCGCATTGATAATAAAGGAAGATAAACCTAAATGAGAAGTAATAAAGAGAACTCTTCGCTAATGGAAAGAAATGTGATGTTCATTGACCTTTTTGTGCTAAATATAGACGTTTCTCCTGATGACAGTTTACCCATAAACAAAAATTATATTTAGCAGGCCTATGACTATGGACACAGGGTAAAATATAACTACCGAATGAAATAAATATCGAACTTTGCTTTAGCCTGGACCTTTTTTTCGTTCCTGAGCCAGAATGGCACAAAGCGCTCTATGTACCTCCAAAATGCAGAAAATTAGGAATAAAATCGTCATAAAACAGAAATGGGAAGCTTAAAATGTACCAAATTTGTGTAAAACACCCTTTTGAACACGTTTTCCATAGGAAACTCAAGACACCAGTTGACCAAAAAATATGGATAAACCAAAATGTTATTTCATAATTGTTAGGAAAGTCACAAAGTTTGACCAACATGTCCTGAATGCTGTTTCCGTTAGAAAAGATTGGCATTAGCGCGCATATTACCTTGGAAACGTTCATTACAAGAACAGAAAAACGTGGTAAATATTCACTTTCTTCTCTTTCTTCCCAGTCGTCTCTTCACGGTGAGAAGATGATATTATCAAGCAGGACATCATGGGAAGGAGGCAGAGGAGGTCTTCCTACCTTCCCATCGCTTCTCTCAATTTTTCTCGTGAGAGACGACGCATGACCTAGGTTGACTCAGTACGAATTGCACCAAATTATTAATAATTGAGGTGTCCACCAAGATTCTTGCGGTTGTATGTCAACTAAGAAAGTAAATCCCCATTGTTTGAGTGCTGGTTTTTAGAAACAGAAGCATATCACCTAGTCTAGGTGATATGTATTTACGTATTTCGTAATGTATTTACACATTACGAAATCTTTAAGGGTTGACATGTCATGCTGTGTTTTTGTCCTAAATAGATGCGACATGAAATCTTTAAAATTACTCCACAGATAAAAAAAAAAAAGGCATTTTCTGCCAATGTCTTTATCGATAAAATATCCCTTAAAGCTCTAAATTGTGAAGCATGTTTTGGAGGTTTAAGATTCCAGATTAGTCTCTTTTAAGGGTTTAATTCAAATTTTCGATGAGGCTCTGACCCCTTCAACCTGGGAGCCCTTCTAGCCTTCCATTTCCCGCCGGTAAAGAAACAATTTTAAAAAAAAAAACAGAGATAAAAGGGAACCATGACAAGTTTCCATGGTAATAATGTTTTTTTTGGCTTTTCCACCGAATATGGGGTTTTGTCTAGTAAGATATTTTAGTAATTCTTCAGACATATTTCCGATGGTATTTCACCTGGCACTTGGCTGAATGTTTTGTATAGTAATGTTAAATTCCAACAAATAATGAACTCTGTGACGAAATCAAAATCTTGGGCACTTATTTAAGGAAGATATAACGTTAAAATCAACGACGAGTTACATTCAGGTCTTCTATTTCAGCCTTGAGCCTTTTATTATTATTATTTTTTTAATCATCTGAGAGCTAAAAGAAATTCCAAGCACCTATTTAATATAAAAGTAAATTACGTTTTCTTATTTCATTTTTGATTGCAACTACGTAATATATTGAAACTGAAAGGGTTTATGCAAAACTACCCTGTGACTGATTGTCACGGTTAATTGTAGTCTCGACTAGAAATTATATTTAAAAATACTTTGTATCTGCCCTTGTTTGACAAATCAAACCTTATTCTATGGAATCATTGTGTTTTAACAGAAAGGTTCCAATGTATTATGTTAACAAGATTGTTTAGTTTTCGTCCGCTGATGCACATTAATATTTTTTGATTTGTTTTAAATTGACAGCGCAATTGAATAAAATTGTTTTTTGGTGATATAATTTAATATTACTTCAGTCTACAAATAATGCTTTTTGCATATGTCAGAACTATAATCGCTACACTGGAAAGTACGTCTGAAGCTGTGTTTGTCTTCTTTATTCAATCAAAAACACCAGCTGCCTCTAATAAAACAGCAGAACTCGCTCACACTGACAAAATACGTTTGTTGCTTCAAAGTCAGCCAGAGTTCAATGGAATAAGTAACATGCAATCCAACAACACGTTTCAACTGGAAGAAGAGTTCTACGACGGCTGCCTTCCTTTTGGATGGTGGTCTCTCAGCGAAATAACTCAAGATGGTTTCGGACTTGTTGTAGCCATACTCGACTGTTTGATATCCGGTTTTTCCGTCTTTGGGAATGGACTGGTAATGTATACTATATATCATTGTACAAACCTCCATTCGCCGTCGAATTTACTGATCGCTGGACTAGCTTTGTCGGATTTTGGGACAGGGTTTATTACTCATCCTAGCCATGTCATCGAATACACGGCAGCCTTCCGGGGGGACAGCTGCACGGCTACTATTGCCTTCATAGTCCTTAATATTTCTGGATGGCTGTTTACAATACTGTCCCTTTTAACTTTGACGTTCATAGCCATTGAGCGCTACTGTGCTGTAGTATTTCATCTTAGATACAACGAGATAGTCACAGTGAAGCGAACTATGATCTCCCTGTCGTCTGCGTGGATCATCATTTTCTCAGTTTCCTTGTTAACCGCCTCCAAGAAGATTGTAAGACGCCATCTTCTTTTCGCTCACGGGGTCGTTATTCTTATTGGAATCCTTATAACAAGTTTATGTTATTTCAAAGTTTTTCTAGTTCTTCGGCGACATTGTGGACAAATCAACATGCAGCTACAAGCCCCGACTTCGGAGCAGCTAGCGATTAACACGGCGCGTTACAGACGAAAATTTTTGACAGTATTTTACATTGTGGGAGCGTTTGTAGCTTGCCACTTACCATACAGCATTGTGATTTTTAGTCATTTCAATCAGAGATTCCGCATAATGTTGCTCACAATTTTATTAGGTGGTAATTCTTGCATAAATCCTTTAATATATTTCTGGAGGATAAGAGAATTAAGGGAAGCTGCCGTAAGACACGTCATTAAGATAGTCAAGTGCCGAGGCAATAATTAATCAGAAAGTTGCTTTAGTTTATGAAAGAAACACCGAAGCTAAATTAAATAAACTATACTCATTGAAAAATGTCTAGACGTTAGTTCGGTGGGATTTCAAGAAAGCCAAAAATCAGTAGTGTAACAGATTCTTAACTCGAAACTTATTTCATAAGTTTAAATTAGCACGCACCGAAACATTTCAAGTTAATGTCAGTGCACAAGTAAGCTGCGCACTTTTATTAAGTTGTTTTCATTTTAAGACTTATAAGTGTAATCTAGATACGGACAAAACAGTTGACTTTTGTGCTGTACAAGGATGGTAAATTGTTTTCATGTGGTAGGAAGACGAGCATAAACACGTCGGGTGTAATAAAAACGCGTCCTTTCGTGGCGTAGTGTTTTAAATGGTTACTGTCTGTAAAAGGAAGCTTTCTTTTTTTTTTTTTAATTCTAAGGGGGACAATAATGTTAACGGACTTTTGCCGGAGATTTTAATTAATAATTGATTCCTTCAAAATTCATTTATTGCAATACAAATTTTAATTTAAACCTCCACATATTGTTGTCTTTTCATTCTTTTAAGCTAGGAGGGAGTATTTATTATGTTTCTGTTCAAATATATCGTAAGCAGGGTACATTTGATATTGATGTTGTCGTTATTAAATATTATCGCATTCAAATTATAACTGAATATAAGAAATGAATTTTCTGGACTTTGTTCACATCTTATATGACACGTCATCCTGCTATTTCATAAAGAGTTGAAAATTTTACCAGAATTTGAGTCAGGACGGTAGCTTTTCCAGACAGTCGTCGTCACAGACAATTTTGATGATTTGCTATAGCCTAAATCAATGTACTGTTCGAGATATATATGTTATTGTCCGGCTTAAGGTCGGTCCGTATAGTGAAAAACTGTGACCTCGGGCTTGAAAATGCTGCCGAGGTCACAGTTTTTCACTATACGGACCGACCCTAAACCGGACAATAACATGTTTATCTTTTTCTGTTGCGGTAAACTGGCTTACAAGTGGGTTTGTTTACTCAACTTTGTCGTTGAATTTGCTTGCGCGCCGTCTACAAACCATTCGTACTTGAAAAAATTCTAACGAGCGAACGAGCGGGTAACTCGGATACTAGACAAAGAAAGATGTATTAAAGAACAGA